TTGTATCTTTGTTTGATGAACTAATGACCAATTTTCATATATGATGTGAAGTCTGGACTGAAAAAGTCCATTCAACTCTGCTATAGAAGATGTACAATCTCAGCTTCTGTCGCTTCATTCTAGGCATTTAAAAAAAACACTCTGGAATTGGGAATTTATAGTGAGTTGGGTAGATATCCTATCGATTCATTTATTAAAAAGCAGTTAATAAATTTATATACCATCTAAACAAAACACAAAACCCTTAAGGCTTTCTTATTAACACGATTGTAAAAATTTAGTGGTACGATGAATTTGACTCAGTACTGAAATCTACAAACACAAAGCTATCAGATATTAACAATAATGAACTAAAATCATCACAAATGTCACAGATATATAATCAAATAAAAAATGTATTTATAAAGCATTGGATTAATTCACTTAATGATGATAACAGACAAAACACTACTACAAAAAGCAAACTAAGGACATACAGAAAATTTAAAACAAATCTTATTTTGGAAAACTACTTAACTGAGCTAAAAAAATAAAGAACTGAAAAGTACTAAATTCAAACTGGGCAATCACAGTTTAGAAATTGAAGAGGAAGACACAACAGAATCAAAAGTAGCGACAGAATCTGCAAATTGTGTAATAAAAATGATATTGATGATGAACACCACTTCCCTATAATATGCCCAGTATACAATAAAGAGAGGACCATTTTACACAAAGAAGCTGGAAAGATAATCGCTGACTTTACAAATCTGACACTTAAGGTAGTGACGCAGTTTACCTGACAGGTATATTAAATAGTTAATTAGGAAACCAAGATGACCTTCCTTATCAACAAAACTATATATTTTCGGAAGGCTTATTGTATGAATTTTGAAATTTTGTTAGTATTTTTTTCTTTATGGACACTGTAGTTTAAAATGTGCACAAAAATGTGCTTTTTTGGTCAAAAATGATTTTTAAAAAATAGCTCCTAAACCATGCTTTAGTTTCCTGTCAAAATTGGTTTATGGGTACATCTGTTCACTATGAAAAAAGTGCCGTCTTGAAAACTGTCTACCAGTTGTCAATTTTGCAGGGCAGCAGTCCAAATTTCACTACTTCACGTTTATGCATAAATATACACCCAGGCTAGTTGTCTGTACGATTGTTGTAACACTGTTCAACCAAAAACAATGCCCCGACGGCGTTTTGAAGACAAACACATTGTCAATCATTTGTGAACATTTCAAAACAAAAGGTCAAAGCGTCTAGGAGTTATTTTTTTTAAGTTCTGGGATGTGCACTAAAAAGAAGCTGAGATAATTGCTAATTTGCATAACAATTCACTCAGTGAAAAGTTTGCTAATGCTCATAATTAAAATAGCTGTAACAGTTCCAAATTTAAATTTATTATCGTTTTGTTAAAAGTTAAATATAGTTCATAATATGGAGATCCCGTTATTTCTTTTTTCACCATATTTCTTTTTTATTATTTATGTACAGCCTTGCTAAATCTTGCTAAGCATTCAAAAGAGAGAATGTTTGCATCTGTTATCTATATTTTAAAATTCGTTTTTTGAGTATGTTCCACTATTCACAATTTTACAAAATTTTAACAGCCTATAGCCAAGACTGTTTAGATAATAAAAAGCAAAAACAAAATTCACTCCAAAGAGCCCATAAACCTGCATCTCTACCTTAAATTCATAAAAATAATGTCAAATAATAACTTTGGCACAATATCTAAAAAACAGCTTTGTTATTAGACAGCAGCATCTACTTAGTCATTGTCCAATGTGGGATTGAAAAACAGTTGCATTTATATAATTAACCAGCGTCAAATCACTCCGACTGGTTCCTCGAAGATATTTGTAGATTTGAAAACAATGATAAACACGTACTTAAAATAGCGTTTTAAATACAATTGAAAAAATACATGTACATACTTAGCATACTTCGGTACTTTGGAGTGGTATCTTAGTTATTCTGGTTTCCATCAAAATGTTTTAATATGGCTGAACTTTGCCCAAATGCCTCATTAAATTGACTAAAACTATTCTTAATTACACAATTGGTCTTATTCAGAGTGTTTAAAAATAATTGCCATCAGCACGTTTGTTGTTTGAAAATGCTTTTTTTTAGTTTTTCTTTTGTCGTTTTGTTTTTGTTTTTATTTTAATAATACTTAATTATTGATGGGTAAGATATATGTGATATCAAATGGGCAATAATTATTTGTGATTTGGATGAGTACTATTATTTATTCAAGGTCATATTCACTCTAGTTGCAAACGTTTTCTATGTATACCCTAACATAACTGCACACACAGTAAATTGTGAAACGTTTCACTTTGCTTGGTTTGTTGCCAAGATATTTCGGTGAAAATAGCCGTCACCCCTACACGCAATACGACATTCCGACATTAAAACCTTACGCTAGCATAACATCCAAGCTACTCCGACGCACAACTGTGTAGAAAAACTGCACACATTAATGGTCAGTCATGCGTCCAAAAAGGTATGCGTTTGTATGTTATTTTCGCGTAATCAGTTTATTATACGTATGGACTGTGTGTGTGTTGGCCGATGTGCAACGAGTGCCGTCGCCATTGGTCATTGACCCTTACGCCACCTGCCAACCAAGATGTGACTACCACGGTGGAGTATGCATCGGGGAAAATGTATGTTTCTGCTTCCCAGGAAACTATGGTAACAATTGTGAGCACGGTAAGAACACTATATTGATACAGACTACTAAGGCCAGACTTTTTATATTCCTTGTTTCTGGAGTTTGTATAAGGCAATTTTTTTGAGGAGGGCGGAAAAATAATAATATTTAATTCTTTTTTTCCATTAGATTTGTGTGATTCTCAAAGAATTGTAAGTGAGATCATTGATCGGAGAGAAGAAATGAAATAAAATTTTATTCCATGTATAACTTTGTTCCTCATCTGTGCATGACTTCGGTACTTTGATCATGATACTCCCACGAAAATGCAACTTGGATTTGTTATGCGGCGGGCGGTAAAAGAATGAAGATAAAAATAATATTTTTTTATCATTTTTTAGCGCTTACAAGTCGGCGGGCGCAAGAAATTACGCTGAAATTTACGCTCCTGTTCATTCGGCGGATTCCGCAAAACAAGGAATAATAAAAGTGTGACCTAAAGGAATAGTATTCATCATTTAGTACTCAAAAGTATGTACAGTGGCCCCTCGCTAAGTCGCGGGTGTTGGGATCCAAGCAAAAACCGCGACTTATCGAGGGCACAATAGAAATTTTGGGAGCCATCCAAGTACCCGCGACTTAGCCGAATCGCGACTTACCGAGGCGCGACTTAGCGAGGGGACACTGTATTATTATCAGTGCTACTAATTAAAATGCATCGGTTGCCTCGTAAAATGTGTTTGAATTGTGTGTAAAAAATTGTATTTTGTATACATTTCCTACATTGCACGGAACCCGTATTAACGCGGAGCGGCGCGACGACTGTGATGCGCACAAGCTGCAGTAACACTTCCATGCACAACGTTACAATCACGTGTCAATTAATTTATGCTCAATGTATTCTCGAAATTACATGCTTGATTGTATTTGCGGCGATGAAAAATAAAACAACCTCAACCCAAATATTCCAGCTACTCACAAGATGTACTGGCTATGTATATGTTAAGGAAGCTGATGTATATGTTAAGCTGATACCACGGTACGAGTCTTTGTACTGAAACACATATATTGTTGGTTCACTGGTCGAGGGATACGCGGGTCCGTTCCAATTTTCACTCACTTTTTATACTTCTCGAACTTCGTGTGCCCCCCAAATGGCACTTTTAAAAATAAGTCTCATAAGTCAAGACACATGCACAGAGATTCAACGCAAAACGAACAGACAGCGTACCATCCTAGTGTTTCAAAAAGTCCACTTGTTATAAAAAGGATAATGTTTACTAAACATTCAGTGGAAACACTTATATGTCCTACCTATACCAGGCAAGCGCCGAGGTAGGACATATCCGAGGTGCGCAGCATTTTCCTGACCAAGGCTCAAAATGTGGCCGCTAATTCGAGGATACAATAACAAAGTTTTACCGCGAATTTTCGAGGATTTTTTGAACCCAGTTGCAGTTTGTGTGTAGTCACAGCATACGCGTATTAAATATTCGTGTATAAATCGAACATAGGCAAATGAACCAAACATTGGCTGTGATATCCCTGATATTGAAAGAGCGGGCAGACAGACTATCACGGGAAAAATAAGCAGCACTTGAATTGAAACAAACATTCCAAACTTTTTTGACAAATAAAACTATATATAGTCCACCAATTTAAATGACATCATAAACGGACACACGTCAAACATCGATAAGTGGTCATAAAATCTTCGGTGACCAATGTTTTGACGTCAAGTAAATTGTAGATGATTGGTATGCATTTGAAGATTATTTCATACTTCAGTGTGTGATTAATAATTATTTAAAATACATGGGATTGTACAAATCTAGTCATCACAACAATACGGGTTATTAAGCGTGTTGCATATATGACAGAGCTCTGAAATTTGCATGGAATAATTAAATATACTTATAGATTCTATAAAATACTAAACGTGTATTTTGAGTAGCATATTCCAAATAAATCTACTACAACGTTAAAAGTCAGTATTGTATGGAAATTGCAGGACGTCCAAAATGCCCGTTAAATAGTGAGAAGAATTCTGAGACTTAGTAAATGTGAGCTATTTCCAACAACGAAACAGTCACCTCCCAATGAACGGGCTTTGTTTAAAACAAATAATGAGTATTCTCTTAATAAATGCAAAATGCAATCAAAAGTAAAAGTTGTCGTTCAGTATCTTTTGTG